GCAAAATGTTTTGAATAGACATCACTGAATTCTGACTGTTTTGTGTTTACTTACATTTTCTCTAGGACCAGATACAAAATGAAACAACACAGGTTTCATGGAGTATTTCAACTGAGGAGGACATTATTTAGCCTCCAAGCTCAGTTAAGTTACAGGAAATTGCCAATAAGGACGCCAAGGACATCTCTACAGCCTTCACTGTGCCAACCAGAGGGACTCATTACTAATAAACATTTGCTAGTATAACCAGAATCTCTTTCTCAGTTCTGCGTCTCAAACGTACTTTGAACCCCAGAAGATGAATCTGTCACTGTTGACCTATTCTTCACTGAGAAGGCAAGACAACAATGCCAGAATTACTCCCTTTGCAAATTATTTGGAAATCTGACAGTGGTTCCTACTGAGATAGAAGGGAAGCTGCCATACGCCTAAAAAGGCATAGATTGTCCTGCTGAAACAAAAAAAGAAGAAGTTTCCAGGTTGGGGTGGAAAGCTGATTTCCTGAATAGAAGAGCATTGCATTGATCCTTACCTGGCCCTTAATGTGACAGCGGGCTGAGCAGCAGCTGTGGTCCCCAGTTTCCCTGGGCAGCTACGTCAGGGGTCTGAACCAAAGCTCCCTTCTGGACTACACCAGTGGGTTTCTTTCCCCTGGAAATCAGGGGAGTTAGGGAGAACAGGCTGCTCTGTGCCCGGATTTCATCAAGACAAGGTTGACGTGTGGCTGCAGCACTCAGGCTCAGGAGCCTCGAAGAGCTCCAGGTTCTCCAGATTGTTCACAGGAGCACAGTCTTCCTGACAGCCTAAATGCCACAGATAGAATGAAATACGTATTTCTCTTTTGTTTATAAAGTTGAGCAGCTTGACACTTTGTGTACAAAAAGGAGAAACGCCCGTTGCTCACTGTCAGTCTTCTCCCTCTGGGTAGCTGTAACTAGCAGGGAACGCACACAGAGCTCTCTCAAACGGCCTATGAACTTCAACCAGAGCACCACGGCCAGCATTTGGGGCTACACTCAGACTACGGATCTTACTCATTCCCTAAGGGAAGACGGAAAGATGAAGAACCACTCTTGAGGATTGTTCAAAGACCAAAGGAGGAGACAGAGATGCAGGTGATGTACAAATGCTCCGCAGTGGTGGCTCTTGACTGTTACGACTTTTGTGAGCTGGCTGGAGCTCTTCATGAGCAGGCTGAAGCCTTTCCAGGCAGTCGCTCTAAGGGAATTCAAGATCTCATATAGCCTCTCCCTTGGTCTCAAGATGAAACTGATTGTGCGAACATCATTCCTGAGAGACAGCAGCCTAACCTGTTCCCTTAAAACACGATGGAAGCTCTGCTGTCTCCCTAGGCAATCTGTCCCCCACGTTTCAGCGTTACAGAACTTAATGCTCCTTTCCTGCAATTTAAGTCCACTAGTTCTTGAGGCTGGAGAACAATTTGTCCCTTCCATTTTGCCACTATTATTTTTATGTGTTTGAAAAAGGTTTATCATGCCTCCCCTCAGTTTCCCGTACTCCAAACTAAGCAATCCCAGCTTACCAGTTCATCACACAGAAGCCAGGCTGCTGCTGGCTGGTGATAGCTTTCAGTAAGTGCTGACTGGGCTGGATTTGTACCAGCAGCCCGTAGGTGAAAGCCTTCGGCAGCTTCAGCTCTCTGAGCCAGACTGTCCTTTCAAAGATGTGAAACTTTCTTCTGCAATCCATTACAGTGCATCAGTAAATATACACTGCAGTACAGTAAATTTCTGGAATTTTCTCCATCACATTAGGATACCATAACAAGAAGAAAGGAAAAGACACCTTATTTTGTGAAAGTGTACTGACAGGCTAAACTTAAAAACAGGCTTCTAAACAGGTCTCAAAGGGTAGAGAGGGAAAACACAACATATGAACACCTTCCCCACTCCACACCCTCTACCGAACAAATGAAATGAAATGCATGAACCATGTCTTGGTTTGCAAATGAAACTTGGTATTTGTATTTGCTGCAATGTGTCAGAGTGTTGTTTTTCATTTTAGACTTTGCATGGTAGTAAACACTGCAATGCTTTACATTCATTAAGCTCGGGCCCATTTACTCTGTGCAGGCAAAGCAAGTGCATATATCTCAGACTCATAAAGCATCAGTTCAGAATTACACAGGAAATAAATGAGCCTAAGCCAGAAGTCCAATTTCCAGAGTCCAGCTCACTAAAGCTAAACAAGCACCTTAGATAAATATGGCCTGTTTTAAATGAAACGTTAGTGTAATTTGATAACTGTCAATAATTCCCTCATTATGCCTAAATGAGCTTGTCATCCAAGGAGATTGCTGCATGGCTGATCTTAATTTGCTAATAAAAACCGCAGAGAAGAATTTCGGCTAAGCTGGAACTATTTTGATTCATAAAAGTGCAATAGTGCACTTTTTAAAGCGTTCCTTCCCAGTCCTGGCTCCTGACTGGCTGAAGCCCAAAGCCAGTTTGCTCTGCAGCCTGTACGAAGGCAGCTTTGCTATGTAAGAACAATGAGCAATTGTCTCTCTAAATCACTATTATTCCTTAGCCCATTATATTTAATTTATTTTTAATCATGTTGTATAATAGAAATAAAATCACTGGATTAAGCATATATCTAGCAGCAGGAGCCCATTATCCTTTGACAATGTTCTGTTTCATTGACATTATATCTTCATTGTAGACAGTTTCCTTGCCATCATTAGTCCTAAAATGACTATTGGATTTGAAGGGTTTCTCCCTAATCCATAATAAGATTTACTTGCTAACAGCACAAAACAAAACAAAGATATGCTTCTATTGTTTTACTGCTGTGGAATTATTATTTTAAGCTACTCAGAAAAGTAAAGAATAAATCCAGATACTATAAGTATTTAAAGTTTTCCTGCATAATTCTGATTCAAAGGAAAGCCTCAGTAACTTCGTAAGCTTTGGATCTTTTTTACTCACCTTGGCTTTATTCTACTTAAGCAAGCAACAATACTTTGTCAGTTCTTGAACTGAGTAAGATCTACTATTCCTTGCACAATGATTTTTTCAGATCAGTTAAAGCAAATCTCAGTACAGTCCATTTTCTCCAGAAAGGGCTATAAAAGGTTCATCAGATTCCATAGGAAGAAAGAGGGAGAAACTTCCATGCCAAGGCTGCCGGCGATTACTCTGTGCTAAGTGCTAGCTAACAGAGTCAGCACTAATATCGGGAAGTTAAAAAACTCCTCCAGCGTCCTGATCCCCATGGGATAATTCAACAGCTCTTCATTTGTACCAACAGCAGTCACAGCTAAATCTAAAACCAGATTTTTCCACACTCTATTAACAGCAGCATTAGAATGCAGCAGGGACCATCCAGAGAAAAGAGCGTTTTGTGTTATCTCAGTTATCTTTGAGGAGGTGGCAGGTTTCCCTGTGAAAATTATCCTTATAGATTGCCTCTTATTTAAGGATATGCTGGCACTATCAAGTGGTGCTCTTTTTATGCTGAAATTGCTAGCAACACTTAAAGAGTATCTGCACAACTCTTTCAGGTGGGAGAGCAGCTTCAATAGATACGTATTTTCCATCTATGTAGACAAGCTACGACACCTTCACCCATACTGGCATGATCTGCATAAGCCATGTGGTTCCCATTAAGAAGGGTCCATATAATATAGTCAACTCTCCACTATCTTGGCTAATAGGAGAATCAAATAACCCAGATAAAGGAAAGACATGTATAATTATTGCTTCCAGATAACAGTCAGCTCAAATATTTCTGCACTGAGCTCCCCAGACAGAGCTTGTACTTCTGTCAGATCTTGCTAACTTAAGAGTTTATTAACTCAGGCATTACCTGCATCCATCTGCTATGAGCTAGGCAGCTTGAGTGTTTCTATGATTTAATCACCGCACAAGTAATCTACTAACTGATAATCGTCTTGGCTATAATTAAATAACAACTTCCATATTCACCCTTTTATATGTGCTGATACTGATACAGCATAGACCCAGTCATGCATGGCCATGTCAAGGTTGAACGTGGCATAATGAGGAAAGGCAAATTACGCATGAAATGCAAGAGTTAGTTAAAAAGACAAGGGAATGCAGAAGGCACACAATGATGTAGAAGGGCTTTATATTCACATCCAACAACCCGGAATTAACACAAGCACTTCCTCTCTCATTCCCAGATAGCCCTCGCAGAGGAAGTGTGCTCAGGACTGTCGCAGGTAACACATGAACTAGAACTACCTTTCTACATGAATTGTCAGAGGGTTTTTTTTATTGTGTTGCAATTACTCAGCCACGTTGAACATTTGTCAGTTGTGAGTTCTCATAATCTATAATCTCCACAGCCCTTTTAGTACTGATACATAGCCTTCCCGATCTCAGCATTGGTAGATAAATTGTATTGTTTCGTCACAAGAGACACTCAGTTCTGTTACAGATATATGGGCAAAACATTGCCTTCACCACTATAGAAAGAAACACAGATTCTCTTACAAAGAAAATGAAAATGTTGCTAATAATTTTTTCTGGATTCTTATGGGAGGAAAGGGATTATAAAGAAATAAACTCAGACTTAATGAAATCAGCAACATCATTTCTTATACATTGAAGTGAATCATGGAAACAAAACCATCACCAGCAAAATTTTTAATGGGTGTACTTGTACACGACACTGTGTTGAGCTTAATGAAATCAGCAACATCATTTCTTATACATTGAAGTGAATCATGGAAACAAAACCATCACCAGCCAAGTTTTTAATGGTGTACTTGTACACGACATTGTGTTGAGGAATTGACGATTATATTCTGCCACATTCCATGTTGCATTTACGAATTAGCATTGCCTTGGTTTGTCTGCACATTACAATTAGACAGAGCTACACAACGATGCAAGCCACAGGCCAAGCTGTAAAGGGAAAACTGATGGGTCTGAGAGGTTAGCCATATCGTATGATGTTACTAGACTGGCTACCGAAAAAGCAACTGACAGCAAATCACAGTGCTACACATATCAAATCCCTAAATATCTGTTCATTTTGCTTAAAGCATCACATACGGTGTTTAGATCGCTGCGCAGGTCCTGGACAACATTTTCTATACTCCTGGTATCCTTCAGAATCTCAATGCTTTGCGTATATGGATTGAAATACACAGAGAAGGGACGATTGATTGATTTGGCAAAGTCCCTGAAAGAAAAAAGAAAGTTAACACCTCTTTCTTTTCGACTGCTAAAGAAGAAAAAAATTAGATTTTTCAGTCAGGGGAAATAATTTACCTCATCTTTTCTTTGGCTTCTTCAAAACTTTCCGAAACAAAGTAAGCTTCCTGGAAAGTAGTGATAAGGCATTCTTGCAAACAGGTTGTCTTTGGATCAAATGTTTTCACATTGGCCTTGTCAGAGAGAGCATGCTGCAAAATACACCACAGGATCTGTTAAACCATATTTTGATACTGCTGTGTATCTATACAACTGTTCATATATACAGCTTTTACATTGCTGTGCTGTATGTTTCCCATTAGTTGGTAGCCTCTCTTGTTTTACATTCAGTGTTTTTTCAGTTTGAACAGAATAAAACATTTGTTACTTAAAAAAGCTCTTTTTATGAGAGTAATTTTTTTGCCCAAAATAATTATTAAAATAATAAAGAGTAGATTAGAAATGCACCTGCCATGTAGGCAGACAGACCTAAATGTTCAGCTGGAAATAGGAAAATCATCTAATAAACATTCCTGAAAAATTATCTATACAACTATAAATATGCATGTCCCCAAAATGTCACTTAACTGGCAGACTTGATCATCGTCGTGGTGGTGAATTGAGTCTGACCAAACCATTCACATAATCTGTGCTTTACCTTTTCAGGCCAAAATCATACTATTTTCCTGACAGTGAGTTTAAGAATGAAACTATGTATCTGAAAACCCATTAAATAACACCCATTTTTTGTGTGCTGATGAAATGCATCACCCTTTTGCCACATAACCCCGAGTAATAATGCTCCATATAGTACTGCAAGAAAAAAATAACTAAACAGACATAGACAAATACAGAGCAGACACTCAGCAGATGAGGCATCAAATGCTGCTACTCAGAGAAGAGATTTCCAACTAGCCTTTATATAACTGGCACAAGCCACCAGATAGGACACAAAGGTTTGAAAACTGAGAATCAGGTACTGAGACGTTCTCCAACAATCTTCTTCTAGCTCCCCTTTCCATTTGAATACTTGTGTTAGCTTTTGGATCTACCTTAACTTTTAGAGCACACACATTTTCACTCTCAGTGCTCCATACAGAAGTACAAGGTAAGGAAGGAGAGCATATTTAGGTCAACTTTCACCCTTCCATGGTCCCCCAATATCTATCCATAGTGAAGATGTGCATGAAAAGCATAGAGAAAGGACAGGGAGGGAGCAGATCCCTGAGGTCCGAAGGTGCCTCATTTCTTTATTTTCTTTCTGCATGGACATTCTTTATAGCAGAGTAAGGTATTAACCTTAAGGTATTCACCACACCTTTTATCTGAGCTCTTGCTTAGGCTTATTCCTAAATCCCTGTGAAAGGCTCTGAAAATATCACACTGGCTCTCAACCTGCAGTCTCCAAATAACAGGACATAAAACTGGAACAAGAACCTCTTCCTCCCATCTCCTCTCTCTCCAAAAATAAAAACATGAAAAATTAATGCATGGAATCTTAAAATGTTGGGCAATTAACTTTCTTTAGTACATGTAACTTTTCCTTCTCACAAGGTTTGCTGTTTCAAGCCAGTCATCAGCTAAACACGTTTGAAAACAAAAATAAAAAATGGTCTGTCTTAACCAGCACCCTCTTCTAAATGGATTGCAGGAACAGGCTCACCTTATTAGGCCCCCGTCTATATCCCTGTTATCACTTGCTCCTTGCAGAGCCATGATGTGGTTGAGTGCCTCTAAATTCAGGTTTTTACCTCCTTCTATCGAAATGAATTTGTTTTTCTTGACTGGGAATTATAATAGGCTCCATGGGAGGTTAACTATAGATAAAAACATCTCCTCTTAAGGTGCCTTTGTACTTCCAGGTGAGACTTGATGCCTCAAATGTCTAAAGCAAGAAGTTTTAAAACTCTGAGTGGATTGAGTGAAGCTCTGTGCAGGGAATCAACAGAGTGATATGGGCCATGTTTTTGTAGGAGCTGAATCAGTAGGTGACCGTGACCGTGACCACTTCTGGTTCATGGATTCTTTCCTGTACTGTGACAGCTTCAGCAGAAAGGGTGACAGCGTTGTCCTCTCCTCTTCTCCTCCACTCACTAATGGCCTCTGCCGGGCCAGGCCTAGTCCTTGGGACTGAAGCCATCAGAGGCGAGAAGGGATTCAGCCTGTGGCTCCTACATCATGAACAACTGCTCTAATTACTGAGTCCTAATTTTATAAAAGGGGGGAGTTTAAAGAGAAGCAAAAGTTAATTCTTTATCACAGAGGATGTGCCCTGAGAAAGTCATTCTGGTTATTCTCCTCAGATTATCTATATGCAATTACTCCTACTTTCTAGATGCCAGTTTAGTTTATGCATGAGTAGAGCTGCTGCTTCACAAAGGAACTCTGCAGAGACTGGGATGTGCAGACACCAGGAAACACACAACCTGGAAACAGAAGGTAAAGAATTCAGACATGCCTTCAAACTTAGGTGACAACTAATTAGTTATTCTTAGGATTGCAGTTTGGGAATGAAGTGGCTAAATTCTGATGAATTCCCACCCAAGACACCTATCTCCTAGGATATGGTCTTTTGCCTTTTGGTATTGTCATGGCTACCAAAGCGCTGGACAACATCTCTGCAAATCTGGATGGTGTTTTCAAATTCTGCAGCCTGGTGTCTGTAATGTCTACCACTGAGCTGATATGCTGACACCAACAATGCCAGAGTTCAGTAACTGAAGTGAGCCTGCAGACAAACCTTCACACAGACCATAAACGGTCTAGTGTGAACTAGGGTGGTCAGGACACTGACTCAAAGCCGACTAGAGCTTTTTCAGAAACATTACAGGGCTCCAAAATGTTGGTCCTTGGCACTCTCAACATTACAGAGTACAGAATCTCAACAAAAAACTTCGTCTGGCAAGTCCAAAGGCTTTCAAGCTCAGGCTTGTGGGGTTTTTTAATGAATGCTATTCACTTGTGTTTTGGTTGGACATTCAGTTCTTCGGTGAACTCAGATGAGTAAGTATCCAACACAGATTTCTCCATCAGAAACCTCTTCAGTTATCCACCTCCAAGGAGATGTCAAGGCTAATAATCATATGGAAACCAGCTTTTGGTCAAATAGATCATCTTACCATCATGTGGGTTTGTGATAAATGTCTCTAATGGCCCATTCATACAAATTATACTGCTTATGCTAATATAGCTATTTGTGATTCTCCTTCAGTTGAAGCAACAAGAGTGAAACTTCCAAATGAATCATCACTGATTCGCAGGAAAAGCAGCAGTATCGGACAACTGGACAGCATAAGAATTAGCCAACTACCCATATCGGAAATAAGCATAACACTAAAGAAACGCCTCCACTCCCTGCTAGATCACAGGTTAGGAGAGTGATCGAGGTACCTAACAACCATAGGTCTCTAGGGCCCAGGATCCATCTGTACAGGGATGGAAGATATAGCACAGGACTTAAAGAAGACTTAGACATTTCTGGAGTGGCAGTTGGAGAGCTGCTCAGATACACTGGGGCACCGCAGATGGCACCAGGCGTTTACAATGAGCAACCGTGAACCACTTCCTAAGTGACCACTATCACTGACACATGAAAAAAGAGTTAGGTCTTGTAATTTCTCCTTTGAGTATAAAAAACGGAGTGTAATAATACAACTTGGAGCTTTTCAGTTTCACAAAAGAAAAAAAAAACCAAAACCCAAAAAGCAAAATCTTCAGCTAGCAAGGGGAAAACTTGAGATGAGTTATAAATAGTGCACTGTCTGAGGAGTACAGGAGAGCAGAATAAGAACACAGGTGAGAAGTTGTCTGCGTGCCAGTACTGATTTTTATCGTCTTGTTATTCTAGGAAGGAACACAAGAGTCTTGGAAAACCTGCTCTTAAATGTTTCTCTGTTTACCTACAACACAGGTTGCAAATCTGATGGTGTCCTGATTTTACGAGAATTTTTTTATTTCATCAGTATAAGTTTATATATTGTTTAGACAAACAAGGAAAAGACTCTCTATTTAAAAAGAGCACTAAAATAAGCATCTGGGATCCAGGAGTTGTCTTCTCCATAATCTTCATCCTCTTTAGAAAACAGAGACAAAACCTGTATTTGAATCTTTTTGGTTATAAAGACGCTGAGTCTTCTTAACATAAATTATCATTAAAACAGAACATGACTGGATGTTGTATTTGACTTTAAAAATCTATACAGAAAGATTTGAAGTCCACCTCTCTGTTAAATATAGAAGCATATAAAAGGGATATATGACTTCATCTAGAGCCAAGTGAAGTTGATAGGAGACTCCTTTAATGAAAGAGTTCAAGAGAGCATCATACAAAGTAAATGGATTAAAATTTCTGAAGACATTTGGACTGCCTTTTAGAAATAGTTTTAATAATTGAAATGTACATTATTTCTGCCTTATCTCTAAGCCCCAAATATACACTGTGTAATAGCGTTAGCTAGAGTTAACCTGACTATATTAGGCAGAACATTTTATAACTACTTACTGTATTATTCGTTTCCCCCCAGGCTTTATTTTTAATCTTCTCTTTCTCCTTATTTTGTTATGTTTTTAAATTTTTTTTTGCTTGATGCTTCCATAGCATGTGCATCAGGAGTCGCATTTTTCAGAATCCGAAATGTGAAGTCTAAATATTGAGTGGGGAAAAAGACTTGAAGGGAATCCTATATTGACAGGCTGGTGTGCAGATTTCTCTGGCTTTTATAGATCTTTTTTGCTAAAGCTGTTGACCAGATTTGCAGAGTGGAGCAGGGTTATATAGAAATAGGGATGACTGAACAAGTCATTCGCTCATCTGAAAGGCCCAAATACTGCTGGCCACTTCCACCTTGCAAACAATCCGACCCATTTCTTTGTAGAAATTTCTAGAAATTATACAGAAAATTGGCCAATGTTTTGTTTCCTGTCAGTACTGTTGCATTGAAAAGAGAGCTGATACAGAGGGCAGCTGAAGAAAGGCTTTTCTTCTTGCTAACAAAGGCATATTAATATCAAATGCCTGTAAAGTCAAAGTAGCAAAACTCAACATTGAAACAAGATCTACCTTCCGAGTCACAAGGATAAATAAGTATTTGAACTCCTTCATAGAAGGGACTATGGGCTCACAATCACTACTGTCTTAAGAATGGCAGCAGTTATTGCTGAAAGGACTTCTTCACTCTGACTCCTATGAGAAGTATGGGCAGAGCACACATGAGGGTCAGACTTCATGGCCATGCAATCGGAGTCTCCTATTCATCTCCACTCACCAGAGAAATAGCTGGTATTGTTGTTATCATTTTCAAAGCAATTGCTGCCATTCATTAGGATTTCAGTTACAATCAGGATATTGATATAATCAGGATCTCAACTACAGTCTATTATATGAGCATTATCTTTCACACACCTTCAGGTAAAGGAAGAAAGTTTCCCTCCCAATAGGTGCTAGGAGGTAAGGGTGGAGCTAAGGGAGGTCGCATTTCCAGGAAACATCAGAGACTGGCAATGCAAGTTGATGAAAGGCTATGCACCAATGTCATGGGTGCCCAGATATTCTCCTTCCCAAACACCTGCTTGATGTGTCTCGTTGACAAGAAGCACACTCACTGCTAGGTTTCTGGTCTAGGAACAGCTTCCCCCATGGTCAGATTAGCAGAAAACTTAATAGGTTTTAGCATTTTTTTCCTTACCTTGTACCTTCTTTTCTACCCTGGAGCACAGTCCCACAAAGACTTTCCAGATATTTTTCACCTCACCAGTTCCTTCATGGAGACTGTGTCTATCTGTGGTATGGTGCTGTTCCATGCCTGCAGCACACAAGTGCTTAGTCTCTCAATAACCGAAATGTCTAACTTAAGTCCCTATGCTCGGTATATGCAAGATCTGGTGAAATTTAATAGTTTATTATACACAAGAGGTCAAACCAGATGATCTAATGGTCTCTTCTGGCTTCACATCTATGAAATATATATGTAGTGTAACAGAAAAGTATGTAATATTATTGATTTATGGCAAAATTATGATGATATATATGGCCATACCTTTGAAGTAGATCAATATAGTCCATTAATGTGCACATTATTTATTTTTTACTGTTGCTTTTCAAAAGGATTATTCTTTGCATTTATACTCTGAGATTATTGCTGAGTGAAGAACACAGATTTGGGATCACAAATGTGTGGTAACAAAATACGCGCTCCTGACAAGAATAATGTGTTTGTTTATGACACCGATGGTAGAAGATTTATTATGTTATTGACTATTCATTTCCTCGCTTTTATGCCCTTAGATTTTGTAAATGATGCAATAGGTATTTTCAGGGTCATCACCTAATGACCGTAACTGTTAGTTTAACTAAAAGGCCTGATTCTCTGCAGAATCCTGCAGAGAGTTTGGGGCTCAGCACTGAATGTTGTTGGGCCAGAGGAAAACAAGTGGGACATGTCCATCTCTTTGCATCTAACCATCTCTGCACTGTGGGTATAAAATATTGCCAGGTTGATTTAGAATGTTTCTGCAGCTGAACTATGCACTGAACTTAAAGTAACTGTAATGCAATCAAAGAAAAAAAATATCGGAGAAGGTAATTTCCTTCAACATTTTTTCTACTAATCAAAGAATAGCAATTTGACTAATGAGCTTCACCATGAATATTCTCAGTTACAGTTGAAACAAACAGCAAAAAGAGACAGCGATATTTCTGTTAAACTGCCAAGTAGTTCACTGAAAGCCAGCCCAGGAGGGTGGGAAGATGTTTAAACACAAATAAACAGCAGATATATTACAAAACAGTTTGTAAATACTATTCTGTATATGATTTCTAAAACCAAATGTTTATCTGAAAAGCCATCAGGAGTTCATTTGGTTCCTGGAAGACAGTACTCCTCCCTCTCCTTCCCTTTCCCTCCCATCTTGCCAACTGAGAGATGTATTATGACCCAAAATACTGCACTTGTGACAAAATACCTTTTGCTTGTTCCCTATGTTTTCTAGGCATAAAAAGAGGCAACAAATGATCCACTACAACTGCTCACACCGTGCAAGGTTAAACACTTTCACCTTTATAAGAATAGTGCTCTACATATTGTCACACAGGCATGTACTTCAAGTCTAGCATGAGTTTATATGCATTCTTTAATTTTAAATATGATTAATCTACTGAATCAGGACCTTAATAAATGTTGTTCTTTTAAAAACAATCACGAATCCATTGAAATACATTGAATTACTTACAACAGAATCATATCAGCTTTCCAAACATTTTTTGTGTGTATTAAAAATATATGCGCCTCTTCTAAACAAAGCTTTCAGAGCCCAAGGTACCCTCACCTGTTAGAACCTATGAGCCCCCTTTTACAAGAAATTCAGATTCAAACAGAAATAAGTTTTGTAGTTTATAGTTGCTTTGGTACTTCAGGCCTTACAAATCCATTTCATGCTTCAAGTGCTAGCTGATATTTCAAACAAAGCTTTTAGGTCAACAACACATTTTAAAAGTAAGATTTTTATCTTGAGAATTTTAACTGTTATTTGAAAGTCAAAATATTTACGTCCAACTATTACTTGGTTAAGTTTAAAAGAAAGTTGATTCTGCTTTAAGGGCACATACCTTTAATTCGCCAATAGAAGACAGAAGTCCTGCCCCATAAGCACGTAGTTGTCCTTCTTGCTTGCAAAGGCCAAACTCAATGGTAAAAAAATAGCACTGTAAAATATACAGATACATATAGTGTAGTAGTAAACAGGCACTTCAGCAATGACAATGGGTACCATATTCACTTGATTGCCCCACTTCTTTAGAATTTCATGTCTTTAATATAAATTCAAGTAAAGTATGTTATTACTGCTAAGTACTTTAAATGTCATGTTCTGCAGTAAGACAGCTTTGCACAAAAATGTGAGATTCTGCTTTTTTTTCTGAGCACCTAAGCAGTTCACAGGAATGGTCAGTTAGGAATAGACAAGCAAGATCATTTAGGTATCAAAGGCACTGATAGTAACATGCAGAGATTTTTGAAATCACCTGAAATAAATGAGGTGCCTTAAAATAAAATGCTGCAAGTCAGTTGGTTTGCCTGTCTAGGAACCTCTGAAGATCTCTGAGATCTAGTTTGGAGCACTCAGCTTTAAGCTCAAGATGATGCCACTTTAAAGTCTGGCACGTATTTAAGTGCTGTCTTAGTTAGAATGAACTTACTTCTATGTGTGTGCTTAAGAGCCTTCTTGAGCCGAGGCCTTAGTCTTCACTAGATTTTACTCTGTCATAAATGAAGAATTAATATGTCACTTGGCTTCTTAAATTACAGAAAAAAAATTACAGTCAGTCAAATGAGTTCACTTGACCAATCTATTACAATTGTTCTTTAGGTCTACACTCAATCAGGGAACATATCTGAGCTGTAAAACGGATGAGAACCTGTGACAGGGATGTGCTAAATCAGCATGACAGTACTGTATCTAATTTTGCTGTATCCACCCAAAGTTAAATGTTAGGAAGATCGTAAGAAGCACAGATAGCCCACCATCCACTCAATGCACAAGAAGACAGTCACTTCTGCCACTATGGTACTGAGTTTTAGTTCGGTTTTGTCATGACACATCAAGATTGCTGTTCAATGTCAGATCAAACAGTTGAGATTAAGCTAGTAACTATTTCAACATATAAGGGTTTTAGGAAGTTGATTTCTAACTTATACAAAAATACTGCATATATAAATACATATACACACACACACTCCCTCTATATACATGTGTGAATGTTTATAACGTTATCTGACAATTTCAGGTTTTGGGCCAACGGACGCAACTCCACTGAACCTAACAGATTTACATGTCTTCGCAGGAAATATGAATTTAGGATAAGAAACAACCCAGTATTTGGTACTAAATCTTAAGTTTTTCTGAATAACTTGAGAATGGGTCCTAACACGATGATTTTTTTTCATCCATTTCCTCCTTAAACCCCCACTCTTCCAGGCTGAGTATGATACTAAATGCAAAAGAGCAGAAATTAACAGCTCTTTTAAGTTCAACAAATGTTTAGAAATTGAGAAATGATTCATTTCTCTGCCTCTCATAAAAGTTCCTGTAGAGCTAGTGATTCATGCAGCACAGCACTATGTAGAAGGGTGTAATAAAAAAGAATAAAAACAGGAGCCCTGTGTCTGATCCAAACCTGCTAAGTCAGCTGGGAAGAAGGAAAGGTTGCAGTGACTTCAAATGTCTTGAGTCAGACTCCATCACAGCAGTCAAAGGCACAGATATCCACAAAAGGAGGTGAAAGCACAACATTGTCAAACAAAAGAAAAAAATCAAAGTTCCACCTCTGGCTTTGCTATTGACTTGGATAAGCCAAGCTGGCATAAAATTTTTCATGGGATGCAATGAGCTGATGTGACCACTTAGAGGAAGGTCAAGACAACTGGTTTCCAAAAAAGATGTCTCAGGGACAAACAGCCAGGTACACAAAATGACAAAGGCATCACTGGACGAGTGATGAGTGAAGCTGACACCTATCACCAAGAAGAGTGCAAACTTAGCTTCCCTGCCTAAATATTTTGCCAGAAAAACCTTCAGTAGGCTACAAGTCCTGGTTCTGTACGTGCCGCCACTGTCAGCAATGAACCACTCACCTTTACACTTAAATCCCACTAACAGCTTTGAATTTGCCCCCTCTCCCTCAACTCCCTTAAAAGAACTCAAGCAGGTGCTAGTTCTCACGCTCTGAACACGAACACTCTGACAGAAACACAGCAGGCCTGGGCTCCTCATAAAACACAGTGATCATGGTAATTTTCATTCTTAAAACCAACAACAGCTACAAAGGAGGGGGTCTGGTGCTTGTCTGTTACAGATCTCTAAGAGCAGCCATGACTTTGTCCCCTTATGTAGGACACCTTTACTGTAGACCTTCCTCAGGCTGAGGAGGACCAAACCGACGTCATGCTGCTCTCAGGAGAATGCCCACTCGGAATCTATAGGGTCAGTAGAAGGAGGGAAGAGAAACGCTCTCCAGTTCCCTGAGGATGTGCGCTCATGGGGAAGGACGGGGCAGAAGGCAGAGAGCCAGCACTGGCACAGGAGGGAGCAATCCCTGCTGCCCCGGGGTAGGGTGTTCACACAACAGAAGCACACCTTGACTTCACTTCCCTCTTGATGGACAGACAGCATGCAAAGAGGGACCTTTTTTCATTTAAGTTGAAAATTTATTATTGTTATTATAAAAGGGAATCATATTTAGGAGTCAACGCTTGCTGATGAGAGCCTATCTTCAGTATTGGTAAGACTTGCACTCTCAGTATAACTAACTCAAATAAAACACATACAAAATGACCAGATGATAAAATACGTCTGCCTACCACTAACTTATGGTATGAAGCCACAGCATTAAGAAAAGCCCTTCAAGTGAAAAGCTGATTTTTTTTTTTTTATAAATTGGCCATACACAACAACTACAATTTCTGTATTTGAGAGAGCTCTGCTTCCCCAAGAACATGAGATAGCTCACCCAATGCTGCCATCTTCAGATCCTTACCCAGCAATACACGATTGCCCCCACCCTCCCACCCACCGACAGACACGCAGAGGCGGCTCATTACCAGACTCCGCAGGCTTTGGCAAGCTGCGCTCTCCAGTCTACAAACATCGAGGCATATTGATAAGGAGGTTAAATATTAGAGAGGGACTTTTTATAGACCAGATGTATAAATACCCACTATATGCCTCTCTTTGTATGGTAAACTACACTGACTGTGGTACTCTATTATATATCAGGTAACTGCACTGGAGTGGGAACGACTGAACAAAGAAATGGCTGTTGAAAGGAATAAATTTTTTAAAGCCTCACCAGAAGGCAAAGGTTACATGTAGGCTGGTGAATACAAGCCCAAATGGGGGCACGCAGGCTCTCATGTTCGGATTTCAAATCTTGGACCTGTCTCTGGCATAGTCCCCAGCCTGCTGGCCCAGACACATCGCTCCTCTACAAGCTACAGCAATATCCTGTCATCTCCCTTTACTTCCAGTTCCACCTCATCTTTGGTATGAAGTGTGGCTTTGCTATAACCTACAGCTAGGCTCTTGAAGTAGGAAAGGTGTCTTTCCATGTTGTAAAAGTTCTGTGGTTCTTGAAGAGCCTTCCACTAAAAGGCCGTTCTGTTAGCCAAATCAGCAAAACAAGATGAAGAATCAAAGTGCCAAATGAAGGATTAAAAATAATTTTTAAGCTCAGAGACATCAATGTAATGATCAAGACAGTGCCAGGAGCACAAGACAGTGTACAGTATGATTTGAATTTATTTCTCTAACAAAAGTATCATAGAATCACAGAATGGTTTGGTTGGAAGGGACCTTAAAGCCCATCCAGTTCCAACTCCCCTGCCATGGGTAGGGACACCTTCCACCAGACCAGGTTGCTCAAAGCCCCATCCAACCTGGCCTTGAACACTTCCAGGGATGGGGCATCCACAGCTTCTCTGGGCAACCTGTGCCACTTCCTCACCACCCTCACCGGGAAGAACTTCTTCCTTGTATCTAATCTAAATCTTCCCTATTCCAGTTTAAAGCCATTGCTCCTTGTCCTATCACTACACACCCTTGTAAAAAGTCCCTCCTCAGCTTTCTTGTCGGTCCCTTTAGGTACTGGAAGGCTGCTCTAAGGTCTGCCCAGAGCCTTCTCTTCTCCAGGCTGAACAACCCCAACTCTCTCAGCCTGTCCTCACAGGAGAGGTGCTCCAGCCCTCAGATCATCTTCGTGGCCTCCTCTGGACTCGCTCCAACAAGTTGGAGAGCCCCAGAGCTGAAGGCAGCACTGCAGGGGGGTTCTCACCAGAGCAGAGTAGACAGGGAGAATCCCCTCCCTCAATCTGCTGGTCACGCTACTTTGGATACAGCCCAGGGTACGGCTGGCTTTCTGGGCTGCAAGCGCACATTGCCGGGTCATGTTGAGCTTCTCATCAACCAACACACCCAAGTCCTTCTCTTCAGGGCTGCGCTCGATCCATTCTCTGCCCAGTCTGTATTTGTGCTTGGGGTTGCCCCGACCCATGTGCAGGACCTTGCACTTGGCCATGTTGAACTTCATGAGGTTTGCAGGGGCCCACGTCTCAAGCCTGTCAAGGTCCCTCTGGATAGCATCTCTTCCCTCCAACAAGTCAACCGCACCACACAGCTTGGTCATTGGCAAACTTGTTCAGGCTGCACTTAATCCCACTGTCCATGTGACCGACAAAGATGTTAAACAGTCCTGGTCCCAATACCGACCCCTGAGGAACGCCACTCGTCACTGGTCTCCACTTGGACATCGAGCCGTTAACTGCAACTCTTTGAGTGCGACCATCCAGCCAAGTATATGAAAGATACTTTACAGTCATGCTCATGAAACACTATCTACACGGGTTCAAAAAATTTTAAATAGATCTATGGAAGAAAATCCTCTTAAGGGCTATTAAATACTAATATGGCAGATCTCTTCCTTCCAAGTTCCTGAATCAAAAGTCATTGGCCAGTAAAGCAGTATACCAGGAAAGTATCACCATCATATGGCTTTAGACCTACACTGTCCTCCAGATGTCTGTAACTTGCCTGTCAGAGACAAGATACTGCTGTAGCTGGTCTGGTCCAGTATATGTACGATTCTAAGAGTCAGATCAGTTGCCCTGCTATTGACAGGAAGGATACAGAACAGATCAAGCCCTACAAACTCCA